GCCGCGGCGGCGGCCGCCGCCTCCGCCGCCTCCTCCCTCTCGCGCGCCTCCTTCGCCGCGGCTGCCTCGGCGTCGAGCACGGCCTGCAGCGGAGGCCGGCGCGCGGCAGGCAGGCACTCGATGTGGCAGCAGCCGTAGTGGGGGCAGCCGCCCCCGTCCTCCGAGCTGGTGTCGCACAGCGCGAGCGTCGCGTTGATCTCGTCCTGCATGCCGCACACCTGGCACGCCGAGAAGCGCTCCAGCTTGCAGTTGAAGCACTGCCAGTCGCCGTCGGGGACCGCAGCGATCTTCGGCTCGTGGCACTCCAGGTGGTAGGCGCGGTTGCACCTGGATGGACGCGGTCACAGGAGGCTCAGCGGAGGGGCGCCTGCTCGGATGTGGCGCGCGCGCGCGGCTCCGCACACCAGTCGCAGAAGAGGAGCGCGCCCCCCTCGGGTCCGTCCTCGCGCTCGCAGCTGTCGCACATGGCGTGGTCGTAGTCCTGCTGCGACGTGGTGCCGAAGCGGGCCTCGGCGGGCACCTGATGCGATATGAGACGACATGATACAAGAGAAACAACACAATGTGCGGATGGAGCCTCGGCGGGCACCGCCATCTCGGTGGTCGACGAGAGGCGCGAGTCGGCGATGGCGACGATGTGGGCGGCGCCCGCGGCCGCCTGCAGGGCGAGAGACGGCGTCACAAACAGGGCGGCCGAGGCGGCACCGTCGGCGGCGGTGGTGGCGAGGGCGGTGGTGGCGAGGGCGAGGAGGAGGAGGGCGGGCCGCGTCTGGAATGTGCGTCTCACGGGTCTTCTCGGGAGCGTCTCGCGACGCGTCTCTCGAAGCGCCGCACGCCTGCACGATGAAGCGGCCGTCCAGCGCGTCGACCCGTGTCGGCTGGCGCGCGCTCTTGATCTTTGACCCATTGTGCTCGCCGAGCCCGAGCGCGCCGTGCTGCGGCATCACTCCCCACACCCATAGGCCGCCCTCGCGGTCGATGGCGGCGCAATACCCGCGCCCGACGGCTAGGGAGGAGACGGGCCTGCCACAGGAAGGGCCGATCCCGGGCACCTGCGCGGGAGCACGGGGCGACGTTGTAAGCAGCGGAGGGGGCTCAAAACCAACATCGCACGCGAAAGCCCTAAGTTTTTTGAAGCACCAACGGACCTTTAAAAAGAATTTTAT